CCCCAAAACCCCAAAACCCCAAAACCCCAAAACCCCAAAGTACGATCAGCAAGTTGAATTAAAAAAGCGCTTTAGGTAGATGGAGGCTGAAAAGGAGTCAAAGGAAGTGGATGAATTAGAGCTTGCTAATCAGGATACCAGGAAACCCTTGATTGAGAAGAGTCAGAGTAATGAAGGAAATCGGTCTCGTGGAAATTTAGCCAGCTCTGATGGCGAAGTTTCCCAAACCTTGATTTTGTACTGATGTATTGCTAATATTATATTGGATTGCTCTTATGCAGTATGTGCCCCACTGCTACCTATTGATGCTGAGAAGCACAATATCGATCAGGTCTACCTCGGGTTCATGTTTTGTATTTATAGTGTTTTTATGGCAATATTCAGCCCAATAGTTGGCAAGTATTTATACAGCTTTGGAAGAAGAAACATGTGTAGATGGGGAATGATTTTAGTTGCAGTTCCCTTTCTTGGCTTCTTCTTCAACAATTATACAACAAATTCTACCCTGTTTATTACTATTTTTGTAATGATGAGAGCGATTCAGGGAATAGGAACTAGTATGGTCCAGACTTCTTTATTTTCTATTCTTACGCTCACTTATCCAACTCAAGTTAATTTTGTGATGGCTTGTGTTGAAACTTCAGCAGGAATAGGACTGAGTTTAGGTCCAGTGATGGGAACGATTCTCTATGATTTTGGAGGGAGTGAAGCTCCTTTTTTGACGTTCTTTGTCACTTGCTTTGCGATTGGGCTCATTATAAAGAGCTTAATTCCTTATTTTGTAGATGATATTCTTGAAGATTTGTCTCAAGATATCACAAGAAAGCCCCAATATTCTGAACTGTTGACTAACAAGAGGATACTATTTGCTTGCTTGTGTGTGTTCCTTGCAATATTCCAATATGCATTCATTGATCCAATTCTGGCAGAATACGTCAATAGCACTTTCAGCTTAGCACCGCAAACGTCAGGATATTTCTTCCTTGCTCTTGGACTTGGGTACTTGGTAAGCTGAGTTGTGAGCCCTATGTACCTTGACTATTTCTCAAACATGAGGGTATCTATTATATCTTGCTTCTTGCTGGGCGTCTTTACAATGTTCTACAGTTCTTCTTATATCTTGGCCTTCTTGACTCCCAACATGATGGTCTTGGCACTGGCCCTTTTTGCAGCAGGAGTTGCCAGCTCTCACCTGGTGATAACTCCGATGGAAGAGATGATAGAAGTGGCCAAAAGTTCAGTAAGCTAATCATAACAGTCTAGACTGACTCTGAAAGTAAGATTCTAAACGACATGTGTTCAGGCATGTACAACATGTTCTTTGCTCTAGGTGAAATCTTCGGGCCTATGCTTGGCAATCTAGTTTTCAGTTTTTGGGGCTTCCCAATGATTTGAGATGCTCTTGGAATTGCCTTAATGACTTTTGCTCTTGTATACTTCTTAGCATGTGATTTTTCATTGCATAAAAAGCACTAAGATGCTGCTTAAAGCTTGAATACTTAACTTTTTCTGATGAATTATTGTTCTTTTGAAATTTTTGAATTGTGGTAGATTTTCGTATTGAGACTTTACTCCATTGGTTTAATATTCATCGATAGTATTTAAAAACCAAATTTTGAAATTGGGGTTTTGGGGTTTTGGGGTTTTGGGGTTTTGGGG